CCGCATCAGCGACCATATCTCGCTTCATTTTCACATTGGCTTTGCCTCGACCACATCTCCCATGAAGCTCATCTTCCTCACCGCCCTCCTCGCCACCGCGTCGTCGGTCGTCGCGCTCCGAATGTCGGACACAGACCGCGCCGCGCTCGCCAAGGAACTCGAGCAGTGGAAGTCGAGCCATGCGGGCAAGTCGGCCGAGTCGCTCGGTCTTCTTCCGTCCCAGAACACGGAAGAGGCGCTGACCGAAGAAGCCAAGCTCGAGGACGAGCTCACGCGCTTTGCCAACGCCAAGGAGGTCGTCGCCGACCTCAACAAGAAGCACCCGGGCGCCATCTTTGACTACAACAACCAGTTTGCCCTTCTCAACGCACACGAGTTCCAGGCGTACGTCAAGGGCTCGTTCAACAAGGAGCAGGCGCGCCGCGTTCTGCGCGCCGAGCGCGAAGAGACCACGCTCACGCAGTCCCAGATCGAGGCCGCCGACAAAGACTGGACGACGAGCAAGTGCATGCCGCCGGTCAAGAACCAGGGCAGCTGCGGCAGCTGCTGGGCCTTTGCCACCGCCGGCGCTTCGGCCATGGGCCACTGCATCGTCACGGGCAAGCTCCTCGACCTCTCGGAGCAGCAGCTTGTGAGCTGCGCCAAGAGCGCAGGCCAGGGTTGCCAGGGCGGCTGGCCCAACAAGGCGCTCGACTACATCTCGTCGACCGGTCTCTGCTCGGCCAAGGACTACCCGTACACGACCAGCGACAGCGCCTGCAAGTCGTCGTGCTCCAAGACCAAGCTCAGCATCGGCAAGACCGTCGACATTCGCGGCGAGAGCGCGATCCAGAAGGCGCTCGACACGCAGCCGATCTCAGTCACGGTCGAGGCTGGCAACGACGTCTGGCAACATTACAAGAGCGGCGTCGTGCAGAGCTGCCCGGGTGCGCAGTCGGACCACGCGGTCATTGCCGTCGGGTACGGCACCAAGGACGGTCAACAGTATTTCAAGATCCGCAACTCGTGGGGCGCCAACTGGGGCGAAGCTGGGTACATGTACCTCAAGCGCGGCGGCGGCGGCAAGGGCATGTGCAACGTCGCGGACGGCGGGTCGTACCCGACGTTGAGCGGGAAGCCAGCGAACAACCCGACCGACAGTCCCAGCGACGAGCCGAGTGACTACCCCAGCGACGAGCCCAGTGATTCGCCCACGGACGAGCCTAGCGACAGCCCCACGGACGAGCCCAGCGACAGCCCCACGGACGAGCCCAGCGATGCACCAACCGAGTACCCGTCCGACGACGGCTCGATGACGGACATGCCGACCGAGTACCCGACAGACGCGCCGACGACGCGCCCGCACACCAAGCACCCGCGCACCAAGCACCCGAAGAAGCCGCACACCAAGAAGCCGTGCCCGGGCGCGTCCAACTAAGTCCATTGTGCGTTTAGCTGTGCTTACTAATATACAAGTGTCATTTTGTTTCAATTTCTTGGACTTGCTTTTTACTAGAAACGTTTGCATTGGTGCAGCCACCTCCTTGTCGAGTCACATGCCGGTTGGAGTTCGCTATAACGTTGGCGCAGCGCATTCGTGCTCTATAAGGCTCGACCGCGTCGTCCAGTGCCTCACCCGCGGCCACAAGCGTCGTAGGGCGACGACAGAAGAGCCAGATGAGCCTCCGCGCCGCCGCCTGCGCAGCCACGGCCCGGCGAGCGAATGAAAAAGAAGGAGATTGCTAATCTCTACGTATGCGAAGTCTTTGTGTAATTATGAAGATAACGCGAAACACGTTCATATTTATAAGTATAACGCGAAACACGTTCATATATTAGGCTCGACGGCCGAGACGAATCAACCAAAATGAACCACCGTGTCATGCTCGCAGTACGCTTAGTTGTTTGTGGTGCAATTGTGATTCAAAGATCTGCACTGGCAAGTCGACTTGATGCCGGCAACACGAATGTGTCACAAGGAACCTATCACCGAAAGCTTGGTCGAACGCCGTTTCCTACGAACCTTGGGAACATGCACACGCTCCAACACACCGGACGCTGCATTCTACTATAACAACAGCGGGCGATGGCTTCACTTGATCGCACCCACACGATCTTAGCACCGCAAGCAAGTCTAGTTGATCTCGTTTTCGGTCCTAAGAGTTTTGCATTTGTCGAACAGGTCCTAACATGGAAATAACCTTGCATGGGACAGACTCGCATCAAACTCCTCGATCGCTGTGTGTAATCGGGTTCCAAAAACCTCACACGTTCTTGCTTATCACCGACGCACCTTCGATTTCCATGACCACTCTCCGCCGTTCGTCGGTTCCTCGTTGGTCTCGGGCCTTTTGACCACTTTGCCTTTGGTTCACATTGCCTTTTGCCATTTGCCAGTTTCGATGAAATTGACGGCCGCGTATCCCACTCTTCTCGCCGCGTCGACGACAGCACTTGAAATGACCGACGGCGAGCGCAATGCCCTCGTAAAGGAGCTCGCGGCGTGGAAGGTGAGCGCGGCCGGGGAGCGTGCAGCCGCCCACCGCCTTTTGCCTCCGTCACCGCTACTCGCAAGCCTTAACAGCGACCAAAAACTTGATGAGGAGCTCACGCGCTTTGCAGCCACCAAGAAGACCGTCGCAGCTCTCAACGCCGCGCACCCACACGCGACGTTTTCGATGGACAACCGCTTTGCGCTGCTGACGTCCGACGAGTTTCGCACGTACGCCCAAGGCGCGCTGCCCAAGCAAATTATGACGCGGCAGCTGCGCGCCGAGCATTCGCAGCTCACTTTAGCGCAGTTGGCGGCCTCCGACGTTGACTGGACGACCACGCGTTGCATGCCTGCGGTCCGTGACCAGGGCCAGTGCGGGAGCTGCTGGGCCATCTCGGCTACCGGCGCCGCCGAGATGGCGCACTGCCTCGCCACGGGCAAGCTCCTCAACCTTGCCGAGCAGCAGCTCGTGAGCTGCGCCAATGACGCAGGCTACGGCTGCAACGGCGGCTGGCCTCGCCAAGCGCTCGACTACATTGCGACGACTGGTCTCTGCGATTCGAGCGACTACCCGTACACAGCGTCCGATGCCGCCTGCAACACAACCTGCAGCAAGATCAAGCTCCAGATCGGCGCTACTGTCAATATCCAAGGCGAGCGCGCGCTTCAGGCCGCGATCGACATGCAACCCGTCGTCGTGACGGTCGAAGCCGGCAACGACATTTGGCGCAACTACAAGAGCGACGTCGTGACAATGTGCCCCGGGGCAGCGTCCGACCACGCCGTCGTGGCAGTGGGGTACGGCAGCAGCAACGGCACGGCACACTACAAGCTTCGCAACTCGTGGGGAGAATATTGGGGCGACCACGGCTACATCTACCTCGAGCGCGGCGTCGGTGGCAAAGGCATGTGCAACGTCGCCGACCAGTGCTCGTATCCGACCATGGTGGCCGGCAAACCGACACCGAGTAACCCAGTGGTGGCGCCGACAACGACAACGGTACCGACAACAGCACCGCTGGCACCGACATCGACACCGCCGGCACCGACACCGCACCGGACGACCATGCACCCAACCGCCAAGCACCCGCACACAAAACACGGGCAGAGTCGCACTATCCGTCCGTCAACTGACTACTAAAAACTCAATTTTCGTTCTCTCATTCGACGTCTCTGAACGACGAGCGTGCAGCTCTAGCCTAGTAATGTGTATCTAGCGTCTGTACATTGTGGAGAGACCTTTGTGGTCCAACGTACTGTATGTCGAGCAACATTATTGTCTCAGCAGGTAGTACGAGTTTGAATTTAGCAATATAACCCTGCGACGACGAACCGCTGAGACGTCCTATTATGCTAGTATAGAAGTAATGTCGGTCGGGTGCAAGACGCGTGCAGGCAGGAAGGAGGAGGAGTTTGTTTAGAGAACAGGGACACACCTATCGTCGGCCAGGGCCCGGGCGGCGTCCTATGACAGTGAATGCGTCACGACCTTGGTCAAGTCATTTCTGTAGGGGCGGGTACCTCCGTACTTGCCGCCCTGGGGGGCGTACGGAGCCGGCGGCGACCGGCGCGGGTCGCCATGTCCTCCGCGCGGCGCGTACGGCGGTGGCTGCAACGCATGCGGCGCGCTCTGAAAGCCACCTAGCTGCGGCGGCGCCAGTCGGGGGTCCCCCCGCGGGTCCCCTCGAGGGTCTCCCCGAGGATCGCCCCGCGGATCGCGTGCCATCATGCGCGGGTCCCGCTGCGGTGGCGCATACGGCTCGGGCGCGCCGTACGAGGCCGGTGGCGGCTGGTACGGCGCCTGCACGGGCGGTGGCTGGCGGTATTCTGCTTGCGGTGGCTGGCGGTACTCTGCTTGCGGCGGCCCACCAAACTTGGCGACGCCATTATAGTCCTGCCGACCATAGTCCTGCCGGCCAAAGTCCTGTCGGGGCGGCGGTTCCTGGCGACCGCCATACTCCTGTCGGTACGGCTCTTGTTGCCGGGGCAGTTCCTGACGCCCGTACTCCTGCCGAGGCGGGTACACCGGTGGTGGCTCCTGCCGCCCATACTCCTGCTGCTGCCGGGGGGGGTACGCATCAGGATGATGCTGCCGCGGTGGCTCCTGCGACCGGCCATAGTCCTGCTGCGGACGACCCGGATATGCATCCGTGCGGGTACCATACTCCTGTCGCGTCATCTCCTGTCGCGGCGGGTACTCGTTGTTGGCGTTGGTGTTGTAGCGGGGCACGTCGTGGCGACCATAGGCATCCGACCGACCGTAGCCCGGCTCTTGGCGGGGCACGTCCGGGGCACGCGCGTACGGGTCTTGGCGCGGTGCGTCGTGGCGCGCATAGTCGTTGGACCGCGGCGCATGGTGCACCGGCTTGTTGTTGTACGTCGACGGGTGCCGCTACACAATGCACACTTGTGAGCCGTCTTGACACCTTGACACCTTGACACATTGATAGTGACGTACCATGGGCGGCGGGTCATTGCGGCGTGAATGAAACCTAGTTTCGTTTAGATTGAGCCAAGTCGTACAAAAATGCACATGAGGACGCACCGCGACTCGTCGGGCTGGCGATGGTAGCGCGACTCGTCGGGCCTGCTGGACGACGATTCTCGCGAGTAGCGGTCGTAGCTCGCCGGTGCAGGCGTCGGCTTGGGCGTCGGTGCCGGTGTCGGCGTCGGTGTCGCCCGCGGGTGCTAAGTGCATCGTTCAATGCGCGACACTGCAACAATGGCAGGGTACCTGGGTGCGCCACACGGCTTCCGCTTCGAGGATCAGATGCGTCATTTTGCGCTAAGAACTGGGTCGCGCGTTTCGACTCGATAGATTGATACCTGTTGCGCAATCATATCGTCGGCGGTCGTGACGACCATGAGCGGAATGCGGAGCTCTTGGAGCGCGCGCTAGTGGTCCACGAGGATGAGGCACTGGATGCGAGAAGCGATGACACCTGCTGCGTCGACAGCATCGTCTTGCGCGTCATGCCTTGAATGTCGACAAACTGCTTTTGCGCCATGGTGCAGCGCTTGGCAAACTCGACGCGCTGCTGTGCAAACTACAATCGTGTGAGGGACTGCCCCGAGCAACTCCCTCATAATACGTACAAAGGCTTCGCGCGACGCGGGATCGCCCTTTTCATTCTCGGCGTGGTGGCGCTGAAACAAGTCGGCGCCTACGCATATCGCGAGGATGAGAGACGCTGCAAGAAGGGAATCCCTCGGCGCACGTACCTTCTTTCATTTGCATGCAAATTAGGTCCTGCCAGCGGTACAACGTGGCCACGTCTTGCTTGCGCTGCGCGGTCGCCATGTCAAAGACGGTGCTAAAGATCTATGGCACTCGTAAGCGACGCGTACAAGCGAGACGAAGCGTACATGCTCGTTGTTGTCGCGGAGGAGCTCGGACAGCATCTGCAGCACGGGCGTGGGCACTGTGACGGCCGGGTCGACTGCAACATTGTCCTGAGCATGCGACGAAACGCTGGAGAGGACGGTGACGTACCAGGGTCGAAGAGAAGGTACTTGCAGTCGGGGACCACGGGCAGCGCCATTGGAATGTCTTTGAAATATGGCACGTCCTGTACAGCATGAGCATATTGCAACGAGAGGATGGAGGCGCACCGGCGTCGTTGGCTTGGCGGCGTCGACTTGCACGACAATCTCGGGCTCGGCGGTCACTGCCGCAGCCACGGGCGCGGCTGGCGCGGACGTCGTCGTGGGCGCAGCCGGCGCAGACACAGAAGCGGTGTCGGCTGCAACACGGCGGTGTGAAGACATGTCATCCTGGACGTCGATGATGTACCTGCGCGCTGGCTGCGAAGAACCGCCACGTCGCCTTGCGTCGCGGGGCAGGCTTCAAGGAGGTTCCACAAGGCTGCTTGCTCGGTCTCGCCGTGGATCGTGTCGAGGGCGCGGAGCACGAGCTTCTTGGCGTTGCTAAACTTTTCGCGCTCGAGGCAAAAGCCAATATACCTACATATAGTCGTCGTGGGCATGCTTGTTGGGTCGACGCGGCTTCCTACCGCTTCCAGAGGTCAAAGCTGCCAGGCCACTTGGTCACCGCGAGTTCAAACACCTTGGTCGCTTGCTTGAACTGCCGCAGCTCCATCTCAAGCTCGGCGAACGCAAGCCAGAGCCCGATCGAGGACGTGTCTTGCGCATACTGCTCGAGCGTCGAAAAGACCTGTACGGGGCGGATGAGCTTCGCGAGAAGACGACGGGCATGTAGGGTACCGTTGCACGCGCACTGTCGACCTGGAGGTACTATCGTACAGGAAGGAAGGCATGAGCCCACGTAGGAAGATGAGGGGCATGCAGAAGAGGTGCGTACGTTGCTGGAGATGATCAAGGTCTTGGCGGTCGCGATCACGGACGTCGCGTCCAGCGGCGGTCGGCCTGCCATCTTCACCACAAAATGGAAATCCGGTGCTATTTTATTCGATCGGATTACATTTTAATACATAAAAATCAATACACCATACAAATAGTGAGTAGAACTAACGCATTTGAATTGCATTGCATGGCCTTGGCTCCGTCGAGAAAAAACGCACCAATCAACGCTCGCCATTTCCGGATGTCCGGATAAAACAATCAGTTGCTTGGGTCCGGTTGTCCTTCCTGCAACGACTAACTACAAGTATATATGAATGCGATTTGCGTAATCTTCGTCGTTGCATAGTCTTTGCATACGCAGAACGAGCCATCTCCTTCTTCTTGATTCGCTCGCCGGGCCGTGGCTGCGCCGGCGGCAAACTGCGTAGCTTGCCAACGACTTTGAGAGACGCCAGCGACTGAGGTGGCATCAGCGACAAGAGATCGCGGTGCAAGACCAACGACTGAGAACTAGTCCAAGTCTAACTAACTAGTCCGACTAAATTGCACGTTGTAAAACGAGCTTGTTTTGAATCATCAATTTCGAAGCATTGAAGAATTTAGTACCAGTAGTGGTGTGTTGACGGAACGCTACCTTTGGGGACACTTTCACTCTAGTTTTAGTTGTAGTACCCCGACTAATTTCCCCACCACGAGACCTCGTCCGGTATTCACAAAATTCTCGGTCCCTTGGGCGTGCCTATGGCC